ACTTCAGCTACGTTATTCACGTAGCTGAAGTTGCGTACCTTAGTTTGATTTGGGGGTTTAGTGTAGACCAAGCCTCAGATGACAATAAGACAAGGAGGAGCAATGGCATCAAAATAGAAAAGTTTTGGCTAGATACAGTAACAGCGAAAGATCTTTTTGGGCCCCCATCCTGCTAAAGTGTGGGGTGACTCAAAGGGTACGTCTTCACTACCCGCCGGATTAGTGGGTAACAATCGATCTATCGGGGATCGATTTATCGTGTCTCATCTAGACGCGATAAATCGATCCCCGAACGCGCTCCCCGTTGACTCCGGAACTCCACCAGGGCGAGAGGCGGAAGCGGAGTCAACGGGGGAGCCGCGGCCATCCATCCCGCACCATGAGGATGGGAGGTAAGTCGATCTAAGATACGTCGACTTCAGCTACGCTATTCTCGTAGCTGAAGTTGTGTATCTTAGGCTAGGTCTACACTGGGGGGAGGGGGGGAAATCGATTTAAGATACGCAAATTCAGCTACTCAAATAGCGTAGCTGAATTTGACATATCCCATTTGACTTACCCCGCTGTGAGGACGGCGGCAAATTGACCGCCGCGGCTCCCCCGTCAACGGCGCTTACTCCTCCTGACGAAGGGTCGATTCAGGGATCGATTTATCCGTCTAGATGAGACGCGATAAATCGATCCCCGAGAGATCGATTTCTACCGCCGATCCGGGCAGGTAGTGTAGACTAGCCCTTAGATGGATCCACCCCGCACCCCTCCCCAGTGTAGCCCAGCCCTTATTGCTGCCACGATTGTGATAAGGTGCTGTGACGACAGTGATGGACTGTAGTAAAACTCATTCCAGTAATGACAGCAAAGTAAGGATTTCCCCAGTTAGTTAACCATCAGTAAACAGGGATGCATTAAACATAATTTAAACCAAATTTCAACTGCAAACATATTGACACCCGTGTTAGTAATTATAAAACAAGATTAAAGCCTCAAGCCTTCCAATCCCATAGTCCTACAACTGTGGTTTCTGAGCAGGCCTGGTTATCCTGGAGGGCAAGCTATGCAAGGGAAAACAAACATGCAGGTTTTTTGCATTGCTTTTTTGACACGCTGGTTAGATTAATGAGCAAAAACCTACTTCTTCCACTTTTAAGGATTAGAAATTAAGTGAAGGGAAATCCAGATAGGAGAAAGCTGTCAGCCTCAGCCAAAGCTGGGACTCTGGTTTACAACAAAAATGTATTTAAAGTTTCCCTTTGTTCTGGTTAACTAACTCGTTGCACAAAAGCCTTTGCATATTTCTAGAATAACTTTTAGTACAGTCCATTGCTACTATCACTGCATGGAGAATAGCTAGCAAGCCAGTACAGGGCAGACAACTAGCAATAATTGGTTTAAATCAGACTATTTCCTGCTTTTTTTCTTATTTAACAAATGAAAGCACAGATATGGTTTGTAATTGTATACTATGAAAACACAAATTAACATAAGCAAGCTACCTTGATCCAAGGTGTCTTCCATTTCTTGGAATCTCACTCTTCTCTTTGGATTTCTCTGCTGGATTTGAGCAAGCGTCTTTCCTTCACTGTCATCTCTCTTCTTTAGGATGGACACCAGTCCCTCTGCTGGGGCAACCTATGAGAGTTTATAAGAATCATTTGGCACAGAGTGACAAAACAGACTGTGTTAGAAATCCAGACACGAAAGCCACTCAGTAATGGCTGTAAGGGAAGAAGCGAATGAAAAACAGCAGAGAAACAGTTTCCCCTTGTTTATTTTCTTGTAATGCTGCTGCACTTGTGAAATTATTTCTTCACAAGTACATCTTGAAATAGATAGGATAACTGCAGTGCTAAATTGCAGTATCATTCCTTTTCCTGCTGCGTAAGAGGAGAAAACTTCTCTTCAATTGTTCTCTCTGTTAAGTATCCACAGATCTATTCTCTTGGATCTTGTATCATGTTGTAGTTTCTATTAGTTCCTATGTAGCCTAAGACCTTAAATTCATGATGAATGGGGGCAGTGATGAATATGGGTCTTCAATACTTTCAGCGAACAATAAATTTACTTTCTTTTTCTAAAGGTCAGTAACCCTGCACAGACCATCACAAACCATTCTTGGAAATTACATTGCTTGATTCATTGCCCAACATCGTGACTTTAAGGCACCACACCTGGCTCCCGTGGGAGGCAACAGACTAGTCTGGGGGCACAATGTACAACAGAGGAACAGCAGGGGGAGGGAAAGCTGCATGACATCCACTTCTAGTTTCTCACTGTAACAAGCTCTCTGGGTAAAACAGCAGGCAGCAACTCAAAGGTCCCTGCTCTATTGGCATCCCCATAATGCAGCTGGCTCTGGGAACATTCACATAAAACAGTGCTCTGGGCAGCAGGTCACTACCCAAAGTTTTTCCATTCTCTTCCTGCAGCTATCAGGTCAGCTGCAAGAACACATATTGTCTACCCCCACACAGCCAACAAAGGATGTCGCTCCTACCCCAAGCAGCATGTAACTTTTTGGTGAGAGCAGAAATGGAGAGGGGAAGCAGGTAGGAAGGGAGTAGCAAAAACCAAGGGGGGGAGGGGAGAGAATGAAAATTAAAATATACTTGGAGAGTTAAAAAGAGTATAAAGACTACTTCATAGAGAAAACAGAGAGCTAAAAGGAGAGACAGTAGCAAATGAATTAGGAGATGGCATGAGGAGACACAGAGAGGTGCTGGAGCACCCAGCTACTGACAGAGTGGTGGGCATGGAAGGTCTCTATCCAAAAACGTTGTGAACCTAGGTCTTATTGCCTATATTTAATTCCAGAGACTTTAGCGCCCCCACCCCACTTGGTTGAAGAACCCATTTTTCTCAGCTTGCAAAAGCTCTGTTCCCTTGTGTCTGTCTAGTGATGGATGTGAAGGTGGCTCCCAAAGTTCAATAAACTTCTTTCAAGAGGCAGGCTGCTTTTCTTCCCTTCCTGTGGGCTTTGCATCCCCTCGTATGATTTCTATGTAAATGAGCCTTCCATAGTTTCTGATTCCGTCAGGTTTAATTTTCACAGGAGACAGGTAGCTAGCTATGACATCCCCTCCTGTCCGGGCAGTCTGTATCAATGAGTATCCATGATTCCTCATCTAGTGCTCGTACATACATTTCACAATGATATTAATCACTGGTGTGTCATCTGAGTTCTACTGAGGTAAAAGGAGACTGGCTAGCATCTCTAAATAGGGGTGTTTGTAAACTTTTTAAAGTTTTAGCTTTCAGCCATCTCAACAACAAAACCTTCCCAATAGCAAGAACAGATCTGAGATCCAGTTTTTAGCAGTGGGGTTCCCTATATATTCAATTTTTATGTTGTTTTCTATGCTGTATGATTGCCCTTGCAAATAAGTTAGTAAATGCTGTAATCAGATTTCTGTTTGACTGCAACATATTTTAGGATATGTCCTCCCAATTAAACAATACAACAGGGAATGTCTATCACTTATTCATAGATTATAAGGCCAGAAGGGACAGGGACCTCTACGGTCATCTAGTCTGACCTCCTGCATACCACAGGCCATAGAACTTCCCTGAATTAATTCTTGCTATAAGTCCAATAACTGTGGTTGAACAAGAGCATCTTTTAGAAAAACATCCAATCTTAATTTAAAAAGTGTCAATGATGGTGAATCCACCACAACCCTTAGTGAATTGTTACAATAGTTAATTACACTCACTGTTAAAAATTAGCACCTTATTTCCAATTTGAATTTGTCTAGCTTCAACTTCCAGCCATTGGACCTTGTTATACCAGACTGAGGAGCCCGTTATAATTTTTTTATTACCCATATATGTACTTATAGACTGTAATCAAGTCACCCCTTCACCTTCTTTTTGTTAAACTGAATAGATTGAGTGCCTTGAGTTTATCATCATTAAAAACATTTTTTTCAATCCTTTAATCACTCTTGTGGCTCTTCTCTGAACCCTCTCCAATTTATCAATGTCTTTCTTGAACTGTGGACACAAGAACTGGACACAATATCCCAGTAATCGCAGCACCAGAGCCAAATACAGATTACATAATTGCCATACTCCTACTGGAGATTCCCCTATTTATACATCCAAGGATCACATTAGCCCTTTTAGCTACAGCAGAACATTGTGAGTTCACCATAACCCTAAGCCTTCTTTCAGAGTCACTGCTTCCCAAGATAGAATCTGCTATCCAGTATGACCAGCATTCTTTGTTCCGAGATGTAGGACCTCACATTTGCCCAAATGTTGGTGCTGATCTCATTAGATGGGCACACAGAAGAACATTTCATAGGCACACCCTGGAGCACAGGAAAACTAATGTCTTATTCTAACAGAAACCAGATAGATGGTACAACTGTCGTTCAGCATTGGATGTTCGGGCTGCAGCACCTGGTGAGTGTTGAACAGACATGGTATCAAAATGTTTGAGAAAGAATCTGAGACAGCATAATAGAAAATAATTGAAAATACTGTTCCTTCAAAAAACAAAAAGCAAGCAATTTTCTTTTATATACCAAACAAACAAAATTATTTGTGCATACTAAGGAGCAGAAGAAACTAGGCAGAGAGACCCCAACAGAAAAAGTTGGGCTTCTCAGCTTAAAACAAGAATTTTGCAGAATAAAGATATCAAATATGCATTCACTGGTTAATGCAGTGACCAAGCAATTTTTGTTTGGCAAGATTAGATAATGTCATGAGTTTTTCATAGAAGGCATATTCAAGGTAAGTAAATGGACAGAGACTGACCACAGTATCTGATATATTTGTGGCAGAGAGCCAGATCTTGCGTGCAAGATACTGAACACTCAGGGTATCAGGCTCTTAATGTTCAAGTGGCAATGATTTTCATAATGTTAGCATGATACAATCCCATTGAACAACAGTGATGTAAGAAATGGTACAGGACAATTCGTTGGACATGGTGCTTATTCACAGGCCACATTCCTGGTCTAAAGATGAGACCAAATAAAGTTTCTGGAATTTGATTTCTTCATAATGAATTTGAAATGTCTAGAAAAAATAATGGCCAATGACAAACTAAAATGGAGATGCAATACAACTTTCTGAAGGAATTTCAGACAAGTATGTAGGTCCACTTTTACCCTGTGTATAAAATCATGTAAGGGAGGAAAAGTCAGAGCATATCAGTGATGC